TATCTATGCGGGATTGCATGAACAATCAAAAGTCAATTGATGCTGAAAGATTCATCTATATAGGGCGATGGCAAATCAGTCAAAGTTATGGTTATAGGGACCTTAGATTATCATTAAAGACATGTTATTATTTTAATTTAAAAAGGACATTTGCGATATCATATTTTTAGACAAAATTTGGTTTCTATTTCTACATTGGACAAATTTAATTACTCTTGTTCAATTGAAAATAGTCAGTTTGATTTTTTTTTCTTAATTCAAATATTGTGGGTACCAGTTCTTTATCTAGTTATGATAACATATATCTTCTTAATATGGTTACCTCTTATACAGAAATATTGCTTGTAAATTTACATGGTATTAAACATAAATTAACTAATGAGAATTTTGTTTTATTATGGCACAAGCGATTAGGTAACATCTCTCAAAAGAAAATGAAAAATTTTATATCAAAAGGAGTTCTTGATTCCCTTAATTTTTCAGATTTGAGTGTTTATCTTAATTACATTAAGGGAAAGCAAACAAATATAAGGAGATTATGTGCCAATAAAATTTTGGACGTTTTAGAACTAATTCGTGAGATATTTGTGGGCCATTCACTTAGGCTTCTTGAAATGGTCAACGGTAATTTAGTATGTTCATAGACGAATTTTTCTTACTATGGCTACCTATATCTCATCTATGAAAAATCTCAAACACTAGATATGTTCAAGGCATAAAAGGCTGAGGTTGAAAAACAATTCTGTAAAAGAATTTAACAAGTTTGATCTTACCATAGTAGTTAGTACTATAACAGATATGACGGATCAGGAGAACAACGTTTAGTGCCTTTTGCTAAATTTCTCGATGAATATGGAATCATCCTATAGTACATCAGAATCTCTCTAGGTACAAGCACTAAAAACTGTAGCTTAAATTATCAATAAAGTTCCAAGTAAAGTAATTGTTAAGGGGTTACAAATTTTTAAAGGTCCCACTACCAGGTCAATTTTCGAAACGGGAAATGTTCGATTTCTTGAGGATGTAGAGTTTGTGAGGGGAGATAAGGTTATAAGGTTATGATTTTGTCNTAAAGTAATTGTTAAGAGGTTACAATTTTTTTAGAAAGATCCCACTATTAGGTCAATTTTCGATACGAGAAATGTCTGATTCCTTAAAGATGTAGAGTTTGTCGGAGGAGATAAGGTTATAAGGTTAAGGATTTTATCTCGGATGAAGTATATGTATATATTTCTTCTGTTGCAATTGACAATCATTAGGATTGGGGACAAATTCTTACTCTAGATCTTGTTCAAGAAGTAATTTCAAATCAAAACAATATTACGAAATCAAACTTAACAACCTTAAAAACAAACGTTATTAAGAAAATCTACTATGAAGAGAATAAAGACAATTTCAGATGACTTTATAGTCTTTCTCCAAGAAAATAAAGATCGCGTTGATTGATAGAAGAAGAACTGATCAATCAACTTTTATCAAATCATGCAAATGAATAATTCTAAATAGTGGATTGATATCATGCATAAAGAGATAAAGTTCATAAGTAACAATGACATTTGGGAACTTATCCCATTGCCTGAAAGTGCGAAGCTTATTCGTTGTAACTGGATATTTAAAATCAAGAAGGATTCGAAGGGTGTTGCGAAATTGTTCGTCTTGTTGTAAATGGTTTTACTCAAAATGAATGCATTGACATTGAAGAGACTTTTTCTCCGATTTATTTAAAAGACTCTTTTAGGACTTTTATGGCATTACGTCGGTGTTATACAAATTAAAAAAATCCATTTATGGGCTTAAGCTCGTTCATCAAATAATTATCTCATTTAGTTTTGAGGTGAATTCAGTTGATGATTGTATTTATTACAAGTTCAGTGGGAGTAAGCATATTTTCTAATATTGTATGTCGATGACATATTGTTTACCTGTAATGATATAAGTTTATTGCACGAAATCAAGAGATTTCTGTCATGAAATTTTGAAATAAAAAATTTTGGTGAAACTTCTTTTGTACTAAGAATATAGAAACACATGGATCGTTCTCGGTGTATTTTTGAATTATCACAAAAACGAGCATCGATAAGGTTCTTAAAAAAATATGTGGGGTGCATGAATGAAAAT